CACTTCTACTTAAAATTCTTTCAATTTTTTCCAGCGGCACCAATGACCTCATAGTTGCAACATGGAAATCTTCGTTGCAATTACGCAATAAATGCAATTTACAAAGCAGTGTGATACAGAGCGCTAATTGTCCTATGTGAGGTATAAATAGTTGCAGTGGAAGTAGCAGCAGAACTTGTTAGGGGAGTAGCAGTTGAAATAGCAATAGATAGGAGGCAGGGGAATTGATAAGGCGGAATAAAGAAGGGATGGGGGGATGGGCCAAGAGAAAGATGCCATACATTGTACTCATAATCCATCTCCATCCATCCCTTACCATCCCACGCCTCCCACTTACCAATCCCCAATCCCTCATTCGGTGTTAGGAGTAAATCCCTTTCATCTGTTGGACAGACTTCGAGGCTGCCCCATCTGGCGTCCAATTATGTGTATATTACAGCACTGGCAAGATAATGGTTGCTCCAGCCGCCCCTGGAGCTCCGTCTCCCGACTGTCACAGCTCGACGAAGGTGCCGTGTGACCTCGTCTGAACTGGTCAACAAGGCCGGCTGGTGCCTCAACCAGTGACCTGAACCCATTAGCACCAGAGACGTTCTTGCCGGCCAGAGGTTCATTAACCCTCAAACAACTGCACTCAGTTGAGTGTGTGTGTGTGTGTGAGTGCCTCGACCTGCTTGAGGTTGTTAGTCTTAATATATTATTTAGAGGATCGTTCGCTATTACTGATTTTATTAGAATTATTAATATTTTGTTTTGACTGCTCTATATAAAGCTTGTAGACTTTTTGCTCAACTGGAGCAGATTATTGTTGTTGCGTAAATCACAGACGGCTTAAAGCTGGAGAATGATCTGGGCATGTTATTGTGTTGTTATTGTTAGTGTTCTCATGTCTACCGTGTGTGTCCGTGTTGTTCTCATGTCTACCGTGTGTGTCCGTGTTGTTCTCATGTCTACCGTGTGTGTCCGTGTTGTTGTCATGTCTACCGTGTGTGTCCGTGTTGTTGTCATGTCTACCGTGTGTGTCCGTGTTGTCGTCATGTCTACCGTGTGTGTCCGTGTTGTTGTCATGTCTACCGTGTGTGTCCGTGTTGTTGTCATGTCTACCGTGTGTGTCCGTGTTGTTGTCATGTCTACCGTGTGTGTCCGTGTTGTTGTCATGTCTACCGTGTGTGTCCGTGTTGTTCTCATGTCTACCGTGTGTGTCCGTGTTGTTCTCATGTCTACCGTGTGTGTCCGTGTTGTTGTCATGTCTACCGTGTGTGTCCGTGTTGTTGTCATGTCTACCGTGTGTGTCCGTGTTGTCGTCATGTCTACCGTGTGTGTCCGTGTTGTTGTCATGTCTACCGTGTGTGTCCGTGTTGTTGTCATGTCTACCGTGTGTGTCCGTGTTGTTGTCATGTCTACCGTGTGTGTCCGTGTTGTCATCATGTCTACCGTGTGTGTCCGTGTTGTCGTCATGTCTACCGTGTGTGTCCGTGTTGTTGTCATGTCTACCGTGTGTGTCCGTGTTGTTGTCATGTCTACCGTGTGTGTCCGTGTTGTTGTCATGTCTACCGTGTGTGTCCGTGTTGTTGTCATGTCTACCGTGTGTGTCCGTGTTGTTGTCATGTCTACCGTGTGTGTCCGTGTTGTTGTCATGTCTACCGTGTGTGTCCGTGTTGTTGTCATGTCTACCGTGTGTGTCCGTGTTGTTGTCATGTCTACCGTTGTCGTCATGACTGCAGGAATTCTCCTCTAAGAAATCAGGTACAAGAATCCTCCTCTGCCCAAACTGCTGTAGAAATCCTCTCATCAAGCTGGTGCCATAATCCTGCTCTCATCCAGCTGGAGCAGGACTCTTCCGGGCATCCAGCTGGAGCAGGACTCCTCCGGGCATCCAGCTGGAGCAGGACTCCTCCGGGCATCCAGCTGGAGCAGGACTCCTCCGGGCATCCAGCTGGTGGAGGGATTCATCGCGGTGAGAGGCGCCGCTGCCGTTCAAACAACTCTTCCATCAACTACAGCCTCGTCTCTTCACGGGAACATCTGAGCAATATAGAGCAAATATGACTTCCATTTATACCTTGTGTTATATAATGTCGCCAGCTCGCAGGCGACCCAAGTTAGTGAAGGATGGTATCTCTGTCTCTCTGTCTGTCTCTCTCTGTGTCTCTCTGTCTGTCTCTCTGTCTGTCTGTCTCTGTCTGTCTCTCTCTGTGTCTCTCTGTCTGTCTCTCTCTGTCTGTCTCTCTCTCTGTCTGTCTGTCTCTGTCTGTCTCTCTCTGTGTGTCTCTGTCTGTCTCTCTCTCTGTCTGTCAGTCTCTCTGTCTGTCTCTCTGTCTGTCTCTCTCTCTCTCTCTTTCTCTTTTGCCTTGAGTGTTGGTATACAAAACTTTCCCAATAACGAAGATATTGTGTTTGTTGTTGAACATAGCATTGTATTACACTTGTGTAATTGTGTTGCACTAAATATATTAGTTTCACTTAAATTTCAATTTTTGTAAACTTTCTCATGACACCTATTAAATTTTATGGATGTGTTTACAAACTATATTTTAAATCTATCTGTATCTGAAAAGGTGAATATGCTTGTCTCTCTGTGCGAGGCTGGCGACCAAACAGTTGAGGTTAGCATCGTGTAAAAGGTGAGTGTTAAAGTCCAGTTGGGGTCGGGGTCGGGTGGGTTGGCCCAGGTGTCATGCTTTCAGATATATCGGCCTCTTAAGTGCCCCCCCCCCCACCGTTTTATATGAGTAAAGTCAGAAATCAAATCTGAGATTGTGAAACCAAAGAATGTTATGCTTACTGAAACTTGCTCCCCCCGTTTACACGGGGTACACGGGTGAAATGGGTGGACAGAGGAAGAAGGGGGAAGAATCCGTGTGAGGGCAGATGAAATCCCGGTTCATCTGTTCAATTGTAACTCTTTTCTGTGTCGTAGCACAGTCGATTTAGGTATCGTCTGGGATCCTCTCGGACGTAAGTTCGAACCCTCATCACGACTCTCCTGGTTTTTTACATAGAAAAGCTTTTTCTTTCTTTAGATATAAATATAATATATATATATATATATATATATATATATATATATATATATATATATATATATATATATATATATATATATATATATATATATTGTAGTCGTCGTTCTCAACCACTTGTAACACTGAATATGGCCCAGAGTGTCAGATCACTCTGACACTCTGGGTGATTATATACATATATATATATATATATATATATATATATATATATATATATATATATATATATATATATATATATATATATATATATATATATATAACCCCCACGCCTTCCTCTTTCCTGCCATTGCGGTGGGAAGCTCCACGAGTCTGCAAGGACTGATCCAGCTTTTATTTTTCTCGTTAACTGGCAGTCACACTCGCCGTAACGAGGCCGTTACGGCTCCGACCGGACACTTGCTTCTGATGGGTAGTTAGCGAGTGTAGTTGTGACAGCAATAACGAGCGGTAGATGCAATGGCCCGGTGGTTTTGGCCAATTTAGTAATGGGTGTTGGACCCTTCAGGGAGTCTGAGACGACACCTTGGCCTCCAGCACAAGACGCTGCAGGTGTGGGGGAACTCCCTTTAGGGTATTGTATGTTGCAGGTGTTGATATCTTGGTAAGATAAGGTGATCTGGAAGGGTGAGAGTAGGGTGTCAACCCTATACACACTCCAGGCTATTTCTAATTAATATTAATGATCCGAACGTTTACATTGGTCTTCCAAAGGCAAAGAAAAGTAATTTAAATGTCCCACAAGGAAAACAATGATAAAACACTAAACAACAATGTTTCAAGACAAAGCAAAGTGAGCCACTTTGCGTCAGTCTTCACCTCCTCAACTTCCCTGACACCAGCAAGACCAGCTTCACTTTAGGTGAACAACGGTCATATTGACCTGTACATTGGCCAGCTACATTGACCGGGAGTGAAAATATCTGGCGTCATCTCGGGCTCTGATGTACCAGCAGTCTGTCCCTGACACACTGGCTAGTGGTCGTCACCTCCGGAGGTCCTAACCTAGTGTGTATGTGTGTGTGTGTGTGTGTGTGTGTGTGTGTGTGTGTGTGTGTGTGTGTGTGTGTGTGTGTGTGTGTGTGTGTGTGTGTGTGTGTGTGTGTATGTGTGTGTGTGTATGTGTGTGTGTGTATGTGTGTGTGTATGTGTGTGTGTGTGTGTGTGTGTGTGTGTGTGTGTGTGTGTGTGTGTGTGTGTGTGTGTGTGTGTGTGTGTGTGTGTGTGTGTGTGTGTGTGTGTGTGTGTGTGTGTGTGTGATTGCAATCATCTTTCATATACCATAATAACTCAAATAGTAAATTTAATGATTTAGGGTGACTAAAAATACATTTCAACTTGTCACAAGTGTAAACAGCTCAAGATAATGGAGAAGTTCTTCCTGCTGTGAGTGTGGCTTATCTGACCCCAACAAACATCTCACCGTCTTCTCTTTATCCCGTAAAACATCTCATCTTTATCCAATTAGTAAATCTCTCTTAATATTGTGTATACCTTTACTCTATTCCTTCCCCTCCCATAATCCTCCCCCGTGTTGTCAAACATTTATGGATATAAATAGATTAAGAAAAGATTTTGGTATAGAAAATAGCTTGCTAAGTACCGGTTTAAGGAACAGGTTTGCTGATTTGTGGAAGCAATTACCGGGTAGCATAATATTCCCCCCCCCCCCCCCCGCGTCCTGTCGAGGGCTCACAACGTCGCTAAACTGATGTGCTAAATTGCCTGAACCTAACCTAACGGAAGACCTTCGAATATAAAACAGGGCATCACGCCAATTGTATGATTTTGACTACATTAGTTTCTGGTCAAAATGAGATGATATACGAGTGGAGAGGACGGAGTGAAGAGTGGCGGGATCCTTGGGGGATTCAGGCGTAGAATTTATCAAGCGATTCATTGATTTAATTATCAACAATAATTTATCACAATCACCACAATCTTCCAACGTTATTGATATGCAGGACTCATTACCTGAGGTTGAACAGCAAGTATATCCAGACCTGAGAACAGGGAGTATCTGCCGACCTGAGAACAGGAAGTATCTGCCGACCTGTGAACAGGAAGTATCTGCCGACCTGAGAACAGGGAGTATCTGCCGACCTGAGAACAGGGAGTATCTGCCGACCTGAGAACAGGGAGTATCTGCCGACCTGAGAACAGGAAGTATCTGCCGACCTGAGAACAGCAAGTATCTGCCGACCTGTGAACAGGAAGTATCTGCCAACCTGAGAACAGGAAGTATCTGCCAACCTGTGTTCCACAGCAAAATTGTAAACTCAAAAAGCTAAATATTTAATAATTACCAGAAACATTTCAATCAATAAATACAAAGCCACTGAGCGTTGCTACTAGTTTTATAGTTCCTTGTTGTTTTAATTGTTAAATTGTCTATTTATTGAACATGAGTTCTGTCAGAGGCAGACAATCCTTACGAAGCAGTTGGGCTGCTTCTGTCACGGCCTCGTAGACACGTGCACGAGGTGACACGGACACCAGTCTCCATGGGGCCCAGACACCACCCTAGGGGCCACGCCAAGAGGAACCACGGCAAGAGAAACCACGGCAAGGTTAGTCAGATCAAGGGGGTAGACACGTCGATGAGGGCCACGTCAAGGGGGAGCCACGTCAAGGGGGAGCCACGTCAAGGGGGAGCCACGTCAAGGGGGAGCCACGTCAAGGGGGAGCCACGTCAAGGGGGAGCCACTTCAAGGGGGAGCCACGTCAAGGGGGGAGCCACGTCAAGGGGGGAGCCACGTCAAGGGGGAGCCACGTCAAAGAGAGGCACGTCAGCGGTACGTGTCATCTCTCACTCACTCGAGGCTTTAAGCTGTCCGTGTACCCAGAGACGTTCCGGAGCCTCAGTGCTTCTGAGACACTTGACGCCGGGGTTTACTCAGCCTTCTGCTGAACCTTTGACCGCCAAGTCATATGCAAATCGTGAGTTTTATAGACTATAGTTTTGCACTCAAGCTCTCTCATGTCAAACATTCACTTGCATTTACTCTCGTACCCACTCGTTTGCACTCACTCGCACAAGCACTCTCGTACTGGCACTCGCAACGACACCAACAGAACGCAACAGACGGGCGTCCAACAGAGTGAACCACATATTGACCAAGAGAACGGCCCATCCAGCTTCGACTATAACGCCATGATCTAAGCTGCAGTTAAGGTAATTATGAAAAGAAAGAGCTTATCCAGTGCGACCATAGAGCACTTGCAAGGGATGTGAGGACAAGGAGCTGGGGTGTGAGGACAAGGAACTGGGATGTGAGGACAAGGAGCTGGAATATGAGGACAAGGAGCTGGGATGTGAGGACAAGGAGCTGGGATATGAGGACAAGGAGCTGGGATATGAGGACAAGGAACTGGGATGTGAGGACAAGGAGCTGGGATATGAGGACAAGGAGCTGGGATATGACAACAAGGAGCTGGGATGTGAGGACAAGGAGCTGGGATATGAGGACAAGGAACTGGGATGTGAGGACAAGGAGCTGAGATGTGAGGACAAGGAGCTGGGATGTGAGGACAAGGAACTGGGATGTGAGGACAAGGAGCTGGGATGTGAGGACAAGGAACTGGGATGTGAGGACAAGGAGCTGGGATATGAAGACAAGGAGCTGGAATATGAGGTCAAGGAGCTGGGATATGAAGACAAGGAGCTGGAATATGAGGTCAAGGAGCTGGGATATGAAGACAAGCAGCTGGGATATGAGAACAAGGAGCTGGGACATGCGGACGGGATGAAAGAACATTGACTAACCGTCAAAGACATTTCCAACATCCCCAGATAATTATTATACCACAAAATAATCCACCTATTCGCTATTCTCAAAATTTCCTCCAATATATTTTCCTTGCTAATTTCTCCTTCAGAGTTTCCTTTCCTTGTAACCTTCCCCCTCACTCTTAGGGGCAGTTAAACTCTGAGAAATCATAAGCAATTCCTTCCAGCGAACTTGACAATATCAACTCACCTGCCAGAGGGCAATATTCCTCATCCCTAAAGTATATACATTAAACTTTTAATATTGTTCAAGTAGGTAATGAATATTGAATTGGTTATGGATAGCAATTGCCCTAAATAGCCATTAATTGCCCAGTCTAACTACCAAATGTGATCGAGACTCATCCAACCTTAGAACATAATTGACATGAAAATGACGAACGGCTCGCCTATGCACACTGATAAAATTTATTGATTGAGGAAAAAAAAACATAAGAAAAGGAAGATAGTAGAACGATAGAAACGAGAGAATAAAATATGAGGCCGGCAGAGAGGAGGAGGAGGAGGAGGAGGGAAGATAAGGGAAGAGACAGAGAGACAGGCAGGCAGGCAGCCAAGAGAGGAGATGCTGCCTCTCAGACAACACCTCTCCCTCTGGAGTTCACTGGAGACTCCGTCCTCCCTACACAAGACTCCTCCAGGGAGTCAGCCTTAGTCACGACACACATTTGTAAAAACCCGAATTGAAATGCAATATGTGAAGGATTACACATAAATTAAATGTTTATGTTTATGAGAGTATAAGAAAGAGGAATGCCGCACATTCTCTGCTCTGCAAAATACCAACAACAAGAGTCTCATCAGCCAGTAAAATTACCGCTCCATCTGTCTGAGCAGTGAAGTATGGACTTCCTCCTGTCGTGAAATTCTAAGCTCCTTCGTATGACCCATTTTCTCAGAGAAGAGGAGATCTGTGAGGAGTATTGCTTGGTCGCAGGGACACCCCCTCTCATTCCTGCGAGGGGGAGAAGGGGGCGACGTATGCACAGGTGCCACAGGTGACACAGGTGCCACAGGTGACACAGTCGCCAGGTTTTACACCTGAAACACACATAGAATTGCATATTTTTACGTGTAGTCGCATAAAGAAATTCTGAATTCAGAGATAGCTGAACCAAAAATACATATTCCCTCCAGCAATATTCATATGTATAAGAGAGAGGGAGAGTGAGAGGGGGCAGACAGAGCGAGAGAGGAAGAGTGAGAGGGGGCAGACAGAGTGAGAGAGGGAGAGTGAGAGGGGGCAGACAGAGTGAGAGAGGGAGAGTGAGAGGGAACAGAGTGAGAGAGGGAGAGTGAGAGGGGGCAGACAGAGCGAGAGAGGAAGAGTGAGAGGGCAGACAGAGTGAGAGAGGGAGAGTGAGAGGGGGCAGACAGAGCGAGAGAGGAAGAGTGAGAGGGCAGAGTGAGAGAGGGAGAGTGAGAGGGAGAGTGAGAGGGGGCAGACACAGTGAGAGAGGAAGAGTGAGAGGGCAGACAGAGTGAGAGAGGGAGAGTGAGAGGGGGCAGACACAGTGAAAGAGGAAGAGTGAGAGGGCAGACAGAGTGAGAGAAGGAGAGTGAGAGGGGGCAGACACAGTGAGAGAGGAAGAGTGAGAGGGCAGACAGAGTGAGAGAGGGAGAGTGAGAGGGGGCAGACAGAGCAAGAGAGGAAGAGAAAGATGAGTGATATCAACAATCATTCACATACTCATGTGTGGCTCTCCTACCGTGTCTATTTCCTCATGGCTCTCATCCCCCCTCCTCATGACGCTCCCCCCCACTCCTCATGTCCCTCCCCCTCCCCCTCCTAACCCCCACCACCTATCCCTCTCCTCCCTGCTATCCCCGCTCCTCCAGCCCTCTCACCATGCACATGAAAAGCAAACAAGGGTATTTAATCCAGAGACGAGCGTGTAAACTGAGGCCGTAAAACTAAAGCGGGAGAAAAATGACATCACATTTCCGGCTGCGAGTGTAATACAAACAGCTCCCGCTTAATGACTACCAGAAAAAGCCGTCTCATCTGCACACCGTGAGTGTTATGGTTCTTGGGGCGGGCAGGCGGGCAGGCGGGCAGGCGGGCAGGCGGGCAGGCGGGCAGGCGGGCAGGCGGGCAGGCGGGCAGGCGGGCAGGCGGGCAGGCGGGCAGGTGGGCAGGCAGGTGGGCAGGTGGGCAGGCGGGCAGGCGGGCGGGCAGGTGGGCAGGCGGGCGGGCAGGTGGGCAGGCGGGCGGGCAGGTGGGCTGGTGGGCAGGTGGGCAGGTGGGCAGGCAGGTGGGCAGGTGGGCAGGCGGGCAGGCAGGTGGGCAGGCGGACAGGGGCGGGCAGGCAGGTGGGCAGGCGGGCAGGCGGGCAGGCAGGTGGGCAGGCGGGCAGCCGGGCAGGCGGGCAGCCGGGCAGGTGGGCAGGCGGGCAGGCAGGCAGGCAGGTGGGCAGCCGGGCAGGCGGGCAGGCGGGCAGGCGGGCAGGCGGGCAGGCAGGCAGGTAGGCGGGCAGGTGGGCAGGCGGGCAGGCAGGCGGGCAGGCAGGCAGGCAGGCGGGCAGGCGGGCAGGCGGGCAGGCAGGCAGGCAGGCGGGCAGGTGGGCAGGCGGGCAGGCAGGCGGGCAGGCAGGCAGGCAGGCGGGCAGGCATGAAGAAGAGACAAAAGCAGGCAACATGAAAGACAGAAGAGAGAAAGAGGAGAAGCAGACTCGAAGATGTTGCAGACATAAGAAAGGGCATAAGAGGAGGAAAGATGAACGACGGACTACGAAAACGCAATAATATAATAATGACGAACAAGAGAAAGGGGAAATGGGAGAGCAAGAAAATGAGAGAGAGAGAGAGAGAGAGAGAGAGAGAGAGAGAGAGAGAGAGAGAGAGAGAGAGAGAGAGAGAGAGTGTAGGATGGCTCAGTGGTTACACACTCGCGAGCGATGTGTCTAGGTTCGAGTCCTGGCCAAATAGGATTTTCTAGGCTTCAGTCCTTAACTAAACGCCTCTGTTCACCCAGCAGTAATTGGATACCTGGTTGTTAATCGATTAGCGAGTCGTGTTCCAGGGGGAAACTAGTAGGTAGGGCTTCATATAATAAATCATATTGTTGGGGGACAGGCAGCCAGTATATATATATATATATATATATATATATATATATATATATATATATATATATATATATATATATATATATATATATATATATATATATATATATATATATATATATATATGACAATGTCAGACCACGGAGGAAAAATGAAACAGGAAATTTCCTTAAGTACTTTCGTATATTAAATACATCTCCTTCTGAAGATGTATTTAATATACGAAAGTACTTAAGGAAATTTCCTGTTTCATTTTTCCTCCGTGGTCTGACATTGTCACATTCTTAATCACGTGTTTATTTTCGTGATATACACATATATATATATATATATATATATATATATATATATATATATATATATATATATATATATATATATATATATTTATTTATTTATTGATGTTCTGTTTACGGGTCAGTTTTATTATTATTGATAATATTACTATTATTTTTTCACTTATAAGAGGGGGTTTCTGCTCCTGGATAGGAGGAGGAAAGGTGTGAGGTGGGATAAGACAGAAAATATGAGGTGGAACAGATGAGTGGGTCGAGCATTAGGTAAAACGTAAGAAATTATATAATATATATATATATATATATATATATATATATATATATATATATATATATATATATATATATATATATATATATATCCAAGGCTTACTGATCCATGGAGGCCACCTTCCTTGCATATCCTTCAACTCCAT